TTAGTGGGTGAATATCTGTGTGTGTGTATTGTGATATGTATATGTGTGATGTACGTGGTATACACACATTAATTTCAGGATGCTATGTTGTTGTTCACACGGCAATATATTACATTGTTGTTGTTGTTGTTCAGACATGATCATGTAGTACCAAGTTGTTGTTGAGACTTGTGGATGTGTGTGTGTACATAATCTATGTAATAGTACCATGTTATTTAGACGTGGCTAGGTAGTACTGTGTTTAGCCTTGGCTATGTAGCACTGACTGGCCTAGAACTCTGCATCCTCCCCCTCAGCTTCCTGAACTGGGTTTACATACATGTGCCATCACACTTAGCAGAGTCTTTTTTTTTTCTTTAGAATTATTTATTTATTTTACATATGTGAGTACACTGTCACTGTCTTCAGACACACCAGAAGAGGGCATCGGATCCCATTACAGATTGCTGTGAGCCACCATGTGGTTGCTGGGAATTTAACTCAGAATCTTAAGAAGAGCAGTCAGTGCCCTCAACCACTGAGCCATCTCTCCAGCCCCAAGCAGAGTCTTAAACTTTAAAACAGTCTAACCTTTAGAAATTTAGGATGAGGGGTGGGGAGATGTCTTAGCCAGTAAAACCCTTGCTGCCCACATGGGAAGACCAGAGTCAGAGTCCTCAGCAGCCTCATAAATGCTAAGCAGATACAGTGCCACTCCTGTAATTACAGTACACAGGAGGTGGAGACAGGGTCTCTCCAGAGTGAGCTAGCTGTACTACTCAGTCAGCAAGCTTGGGTACAAGTGTGTGCCCTGTGTCATTATAAAAGGTGAAGAGCAATCAAGGAAGACATGCAACATAAACCTCTGGTCCCCACACATATGTCCATCTGTGCATATGCACCTGCACACACATGTATGCCCCCCTCATACACACAAAAATAGATAGATAGATAGATAGATAGATAGATAATAGATAGACAGACAGACAGATAAATGATAGATAGATAGATAGATAGATAGATAGATAATAGATAGACAGACAGACAGATAAATGATAGATAGATAGATAGATAGATAGATAGATAGATAGATAGGCAGACAGATAGATGCATGCTCAGGGTAAGTTCCCAAGGCAGTAAGAGCAGGGCCAATGGGAGATCATGATCCAGTCATGAAGCACATGAGACCCTCCCTTACTACCTCAGTCTGAGATACAATAAAAAATAAGCAATCTCAACAAAGATGGCCTTCTGGCAGCCTTCCATGAAGACGTAGAACTCTTATCATGGTTCTCCTGCACTATGCCTGCTTGGATGCTGCCATGTTCCTGCCTTGATGATAATGGACTGAACCTCTGAACTGTAAGCCAGACCCAATTAAATGTTGTTTTTTAATAAGATTTGCCTTGGTCATGGTGTCTGTTCACAACAGTAAAACCCTCACTAAGACAATCTCCATCCAGTTCCCACCAAGAGAACCTAAAAGCCCAGCAGGAAAACAATGAGTGGACTTCTTTCCTCAGCCCTTTTCACTCTCAGGAGTTCTTGCTTTTCCTTAATAGATCTATGTTCACTTTGCCCACTCCATGTGTTCATTTTCCTTATTATTCTTGGCCATGAGACAGGAACTCAGAAGCCATTGGCTCCTGGTGGCTGCATGTTGGGCATCCGGGACCCTAGCACTCTGGCTGAAGCTCACCAAAAGCAGAGGAAGGCCCCATCTCTCTAAAAGAACCCACATCAGAAGGCCTCGTTGAACTCAGGGTGATTCTCCTACCTCAAAGAAGTCAAACCAAGCCATAGAGAAAAAGAACTACTTTCCAGGAGTAAACTCTCATTCTCTTCAACTCCCAGAATGCCATTCTGTGAAGCTTAAAGCGAGAGCCAGGACCGATGTTAGCAGTGACCTTGGCTTACTTCCATCCATGTACACACTCGCCCAATATACATTCACAATAATGACTGGTGGTGGTGGTGGTGGTGGTGGTGGTGGTGGTGGTGGTGGTGGTGGTGGTGGTGACAACTGCCAGCAAAGCTGGTCGAGGAAGTAAGAAAAACATTGACTTACAAGTTTCAGGTGGGAAAGGGGTCCCTCACAGAGTTAGCACCCCAGCTCCCTCCAAAAGTGGCTCAGGCTGAACGTGTAGAGACAGGACATGCATTTAGCGTGTGTGAGGTACAGCGGATTCATGTACCAACACAAGCAACAAGAAACACCTATACTTCCGTCTAGAACATCACACAATTTCACAGCGGGCAAATTGAAACCTGCGGAGAAAAGATGGCTGGGGAAAAACTCCTCCAGTGTGAGGGGCTTTGGAGGCAGTCTGACTCGCAGTGAGCGTTGCTGCTCCAGGCTCTGAGAAAGCTAAGAGGTGAAACACTTGCGGACAAGGTTACCAGGACAAGGATTTGCTAGAATGGTTGCTGACTAAAGGGACAAGATGACAAGCTGGTGGGAGAGGTCACCAGCTTCCAGCGGCTCCACCAGAGGTGGCAGTAGAGAGCCAGCAAGGGGCTGCGAGAGAAGGTGCAAGCTTCTGAAAAACACATCCTTTCTCAGAATCCCACACCAAGTAGTGAGAAGGGCTGCCTGTGAAACTTGGGCTGAAAGCATTACCTCATCAGGATGAGCTCCCATTGGCTAATACTCCGGGCAAAGCTTGCCTTTAACTCTCTTTAATGCTATGTATGCGACCCTCCTTCCCATACTGCCTCTTGTTTTCAAATCAGGAAAATGGGTACGGCGGGGGTCGGGGGAGGGGGCGACGAGACATCAGACCTTACACTTTTCTTTTTTTTTTTTTTTTTTGGTTTTGGTTTTTCGAGACAGGGTTTCTCTGTGTAGCCCTGGCTGTCCTGGAACTCACTCTGTAGACCAGGCTAGCCTCGAACTCTCGAACTCAGAAATCCGCCTGCCTCTGCCTCCCAAGTGCTGGGATTAAAGGCGTGCGCCACCACCGCCCGGCCGACCTTACACTTTTCAATAAGCATACTGCATACATACTAAAAGGCAGTTGTGAGGTCTGTATTCCCACCCCCAACCCCCAGATTTGGGACCCATTTGCAACAGAAGCTAAATATGGGATAGGTAGGAAGGGATGATGTGAGCAAATTCTTAGATCTTTTTTTTTTTTAATTTGCAGGGGAATTGCCAGAAGGACCAAAACCAAAATGAGTTAACAAAAATCAAAACACTCTGAGAAAGCCTGGAGGGCATCGTGGCTCCATTTCTTGGAAGGCAGAGGCAGGCAGATCTCTGTCTATTGATGGGGTTTGTTTTAATTTTATTTGTGTGTATATGACTATTTGGCCTGCATGAATGTCTGCACCAAATACATGCAGTGCCTATACAGGCTAGAGAGAGCATGGGATCCCCTGGGATTGGATTTACAGACAGTTATGAGTCACCATATGGGTGCTGGGAATAGAACCTGGGTCCTCTGCAAGAGCAACAAGTGATCTTAACCACTGAGGCATCTCTCCAGTTCCATTGTTTGTTTGTTTGTTTGTTTGTTTGTTTGTTTGTTTTCGAGACAGGGTCTCTCTGTGTAGCCCTGGCTATCCTGGAGCTCACTGTGTACACCAGGCTGGCCTCAAGCTCAGAGATCCTCCTGCCTCTGTGGGGTCACCCCACCCAGCCCAGTTTTTCATTTCTTTGAGGCAGGGTCCTCACAGCTTTGTTGAGCAGCCGACCTTGAGCTCACAGAAATCCACCTGTGTCTGCCTCCTGGGTGTTGGGATTAAAGATATGTTCCACCCAGCCCTTGGAGATCCTGTCTAAAATTTTAAAATCTGAGAAAGATTGGGAAGAAACAGCCTCTGGATTTTGTTTTAACTATAAATTTTCTAAAAGTTATCCTCATAAACTGCATCCTCCATTTTTTTTCAGGAAACTTGCCAAAAGGCATCCCGATTTGTAAACAGGCACCGTGATCAGACAGAAGTCCAAGGTTACGGCTTGCAGTCCACGGTGCAGCGGGTACTCAATAAACCTGTCTCCCTGTCATAAAGACTCGTGTTTGCTGGGACCAGGAACAAAGGATTGCCTGCTCCAAAAGCTTTGCTAGTGAGTAAAGCCACAGGAAGGAAGACACAGTTTAGGAGACTAATATTTTCCACCATGTTAAAGCTGTTAACCCAGGGGCTGGCAAGACGGCTCAGCTGGTAAAGGCACTTGCCACCAAGCCCAACAAACCTAAGTTTGATACCCAAAAACTTCACGGTAGAAGAGGAGACCCCACTCCCACAGACTGCTCTCTTGACCTCCACATGTGCACACCGAGCTGTACAAGCACACATGTATACACATACACAAACGAATAAAATAGCTATTACCTCTTACCTAAGAGCTAGTCTACAAACAAGAAACAAAACTGACAGTCACTGAAAATGCTAAGCTGACTAAGGAAGGTGGCCTGGCTCCGTACCATAAGGAACATAACGATATCTTTTCTTCTAAGTTAATTTATGAATTCAGCTATTATATCCCAGGCTGATCTCAAACTCACCACATAGCCAAGCACAGATGTTTGATCCTTCTTCCTCTACCTGTGCAGTGTCGGCCTCACAGGAATGCACCTCTATGCCTGGTTTATGAGGTGCCTGTCATGCATCAAGCTGCCTCAGCCTACATTCAACCAACTGAGCCACATCCCCAGCTCTTATGGAATTTTTAAATGCCAAGATATTGGAAGATTATCATTTGTCATTGGTTCTATAATGGTTCAAAAAGCAGCAATGCTTAGTGAACTAGGTTAAAACAATAGCTGACTGGCTTTTTCTATAATACAATTCACACTTGAGACGCCTTCCAAAGTGTAGCCAGGCCTGTTTTCAACTCAGTCCAGACTGCAGTCAACAGTTTCCAAACCTGTTGGTGTTCTGCGGAACATTTTTAAGCAGAAATCCTACAACAGAGTGATTTAATAGTATAAAACAGAACTAGACACTTAAACCCACCGGAGAAACAAATTCTGCTTTGAATTGTGCCCAGTATATGCTGTAAGAATCTTACTCACCTTGGGAGTCTTGTTCTGGTGTCTTGGAGACCCTTTGTCTTCGGCAACTTCGCTCAGTCGGCTAGCATGTCCCATGTGTCTGTGGCTGTGTTCATGGTGTTTATGTCAGATTGTTGTTTATTCAGACATGGCCTCCACGAGGACCACAAAACAATGGAAGGAGCTTGCTCCCCTGTCAAAGCTCCTCGATAGTTTATAGCATTTGTTGAGCACCTTAGATGTGCCAGGGACTTTTTATAGCCTGGAAGTTCCCAAACTTTCTCTATTCAAAGAACTCAAAGTGTCTTGGGAATTTTCCGATGTGTTTTGAGGCCAAAAGAAATATCTTAATGGGATCGGGAAGATGGCTCAGAGGGCAAAGGCACTTTTGGGGTGGCTTTTGTTGTTTATTGGCTAATTTGGGGGTTTTAGTCTATTTTTTAAGCTTGTGGACTGAGTGTACTCTGGTCACCACATGCATGCCTGGTAGCAGAGGCTAGAAGGTGGCATTGGCTTCCTCTGGAACTGGAATCGCAGACAGCTGTGCGGCACCATGTGGGTTCTATGAGTCAGACTCAGTCCTCTTAGCCACTGAGCCATCTCTCCAGCTCCATGGTTTGGGGTTGCTTTTTGTTGTTGTTTTGCTTTGCTTTTGAGACAGGGTCACACTGTATAAGCCTACCTGGCTTCATGTTTGAAGTGATCCTCCAGACTCTGCCCATCCCAAGTTACAGACATGTGCCACCATGATCTCCTCTAGAGCTTGCTTTTGAGGTATGGTCTCCATGTGTAGCTCATACCCACTTCAAACTCATGGCAATCTTGTTGGCTGAGTGTTGGGGATGCAGGTGTCACCTGGCTGATTGTAGACAAGAACAGGAGCCTACAGGGGGTATAGCTGTAGACTACCTTGCTGTCTTTAAGTAATTTATTCTAAAATACAATAATAGAAGGACTGGAGAAATGGCTCATGGGTAAGAGCACTTGCTGCCACATTAGGTTCTCACATCCACAGAGTGGCTCACAAGCATCTGTACCTACACAACACACACACACTAAAAAAAAAAAAATAGAAAGAACAGAGAAAATGGCATATATGTTTATGTGGAGAGAGAGAGGGAGGAGAGGGGGGGGAGGGCCGAAGGGGGAGTTACATGGCAATATAAAGCAAATATCTGCATTTTAAAACAAAATCAGATCACAAAATAAACAGTGCCAGCACCCCCAAGATGCTCGTCTGGTCACAGTTCCTACTTCTTTTTAATTTAACTTTATTTTTTTAAGATTCAGATATGTGGCCAAGTGGTAGTGGCACATGTCTTTAATCCCAGCACTCGAGTGTCAGAGGCAGTGGATTTCTGAGTTATAGCCCAGCCTGGTCTACAGTGAGTTCCAGGACAGCCAGGGCTATACAGAGAAACTCTGTTTTGGAAAACCAAGCAAAACAAAAGAACCAGATATGCATGGTTGTGTTCTTGGATGCAGAAGCCCAAAAGGGTCAGATCCCCCGGAGCTGTAATTACAGAAAGTCGTGAACCACTCAGTGTGGATGCTAGGAACCAAGGCTAGGTCTCTGGAAGAGCAGTACACGTTCTTAACCACTGAGCCATCTCTCCAGCCCTCTCTCCCTGTCTTCCCCGATCGACAGGATCTGGACTTTTGTGATCATCATTCTTCATCTGCCTTTGCAGCTGTACTGACTAGTCACACATCCGCAAATACTATACGGTTCAAGCAAGAATTTCTTCCTTCCAGGCATTGCCTACAGCCTCTCATTCCAGCTGAGAGACAGATGGCTCACCTCAGACACACCTGCAGACTTCTCCCCCTAGCTAAATTGCTTCTTGAGAAACCGCACAAAGGCCGGTGTGCTGGAGCACACCCAAATTCCCAGGACCTGGGATCCAGGTGGAGGCCTGAGTCTCAAGGCTTCAAGGGCAGGCCCAGTGTGGTGGCACAAGTCTTTAATCCCAGTGCTCAGGAGGCAGAGGCAGGTGGTTCTCTGAGTTCCAAGCTAACCTGGTTTACATAGTGTTAGCTATGTAGTGAGCGGAAGGGCAGCTTAGAAGAGTGGTTCTCAACCTGTGGGCCAAGACCCCTTTGGCAAACCTCCATCTCCAAAAATATTATAATTCATAACTTTAGCAAAGTTACAGTTAGGGAGCTGCCACAAAACAATTTGAAGGTCATGGGTCACCACAACATGAGGAACTGTTAAAAGAGCTGCAGCATCAGGAAAGTTGAGAACCAGTGGGCTAGCCAAATGAGATCCTTTCTCAAAATGTGTGAGAGAGAAGTAGCAACACTGTATCTAAAACATCTTTGGTATACTGTCACATCTTATCATAATTTGACTCAGAATAGAATTCTAGGTTAAGAATTTTCATGGCTAAATCAGTCAGGGTTCCCAAAGGAACAGAACTAATAGTGTGTGTGTGTGTGTGTGTGTGTGTGTGTGTGTGTGTGTGTGTGTTTATTAAAATGGCTTACAGACTGTGGTCCTGCAGTTCAACAACAGTTGTCTTCTGACAGGAAGTCCAAGAATCCAGTAGTTATTCAGTCCACAAGGCAGGACGTCTCAGCTGGCCTTCAGTATACACCAGAACCCAGAAAAGACAGGCTCTAAAGCCACAGTGAAGGAACAGCCTTGCCGGCAAGGACAGTCATGTAAAGGGGAGAGAATTTTCTTTCTCCTCTTTTATATAGGCTACCATGAAAAGACGTGGCCCAGATCACCTCCAATGATCCAGATTTAAGGTGAGTCTTCCAACCACAAATGAACCAATTATTAGCTAAAAATCCCTCACAGGTGTGCTCAGCCCCTTGGGTTTCTAGTTAATTCCAAAAGTAGTCAAGTTGGCATCCAGGAACAGCCTTCACAATGAGACTTTTAAAAAGTGTATGTGTTTCCAGGACAGCTGGGGCTACACAGAGAAGCCCCGTCTATAAATAGATAAATGTCCTCCATCACAGCCTCTCATCTCTGCCCCATCCGGCTGCTTCTCTGATGTTCTGCACGCATCCTGTGGACAGTCTGTTATTGTTAACGTTTACTCTCATGTGAGTGTCATTGCCTTCTAACCATTACAAAAAACCATTGCCAGCATTATACTGGATAGGGATGTGCTAAATCTATTTCTCTTCTCTCCATTCTTGCTCCATATGGTGCTGGAGGGCTTAGCCAGAACAATAGACAAGAGAAAGAAATAAAAGGATATGAATGTGAAAGGAAGAATGTTTAATTCTATTCATAGAACTCTTAAAAGACCCTAAAGCTTCACATGGAAACTCTTAGACTGATAACTCATTGAGCCAGAGCAGAAAATCAACAAAATCTACAGTTTTCTCTTCTCCTCCTCCTCCCCTCTTGGTCCCTCTTTCTCCTCCTTTTTCTCCTCTTCTTCTTGGGTTGAGACAGTCTCATGACTCACAAAGTAGCTGAGGATAACTTTGAACTTCTGACCTTTCTGTCTTTATCTCCCAAGTATTAGGATTACAGGCATGTGCCACAGTGCCCAGCTTCTAGCAGTACCTTTTCAATACATTGATTTTTTTTTATAATGCTGAGAAATAAGTCAGGAAAAGTACTATTTACAATAGCTTTTTAAAAACCTAACTTTAAGAATGGAAAGATTGCTGGACAGTGGTGGTGCACGCCTTTAATCCCAGCACTTGGGAGGCAGAGGCAGGCAGATTTCTGAGTTTGAGGCCAGCCTGGTCTACAGAGTGAGTTCCAGGATAGCCAGGGCTACACAGAGAAACCCTGTCTCGAAAAACCAAAAAAAAAAAAAAAAAAAGAAAGAAAGAAAGAAAGAAAAGAAAAGATTGGAGAGATGGCTTAGCAGCTAAGAGCACTGACTGCTCTTCCAGAGGCCCTGAGTTCAATTCCCAGCAACCACACGGTGGCTCACAACCGTCTGTAATGGGATCCGATGCCCTCTTCTGGTGTGTCTGAAGACAGCTATGGTGTACTCATATACATAAAATAAATAAATAAATCTTTAAAAATAAATAAATAAACCTCAGAAATATCAAAGGAGACTCCTCAAAATATTAAACAGCCACACAAAGGCCCAATTGTGATATTAAAGATGTGTTGTATAGACCCTTTCCATTAAACAACAGGGTCTCTAGGAAGCTTAGAGGTGGGAAACGTTTATCTCAAAGAGGTACGGAGATTGACTTCCGTGTTGAAGTGAACATGAATAAGAGTCACGGGATGCACACCAGTTTTCCAAGGAATTCTACTGATAGAAATGGTGCCAACTTGGAAGAGACCGTGGACCTTTGAAATTATGCTAACAGGAATTAGATAGTAAATCATGCACCGGGGATCGTGCCTTTAATCCTGATACTCCAAAGTCTGTGGAGGAAGCTGCTAATCCAAGGAGAACTTGGAATACAAATCATTGTCTCAAAGTGGGATGGAGAGAGACAGAGACAGAGACAGAGACAGAGATGGAGAGAGACAGAGACACAGAGAGACAGAGACAGACACATAGTCAGAGAGACAGAAGCAGAGGCAGAGAGAGAATATGGATGAGAGTTGGCTCTAGGCAGGGTGACTTATGCTTATAGTCCCAGCACTTGGCTAGGTGTGACACAGGAGCATTGTGAGTTCAAGGACAGCTACACAATAAGCACTAGCTATGGCACTTTGTGGCCCTCTCTAAAAGAAAGAGAATGACCCAGGAAGCTGGACATGCAGTGTCATAAAAGATAGACTCATTACATAAAAGTTCAAAAGTACAGCTAGACGTAACCCTAGCACTTGGGAGACGAATTTAAGGTGACCATCAGTTAGTCAGTTACATAGCAAATTCTAGGCTAGCAATGACTCAAACAAGGAACAAAAACAAGACAAAAGATAACAGAAATTTAATAGCATAATTCCATGTTTTCAGTTATGTATGTATGAGCTAAATATGGTGGCAGAAATGCAATCACAACACTTGGTGCTGAGGTAGAAGGATTACAAACCACAGGGCTACATAATGAGACCTTATTTTAAAAGGCAACAACGGGGCTGGAGATGGCTCAGTGGGTAAAGCAACTTCCAGACTCAAGTGAGAGACCCGCCTCAGTGTATCAGGTGAAGAGCTACTATCCGGTGAGGAAAATACACAGTGTTAACCTGGGGCCTCCAAACACACATGCACATAGCACAAGCA